TCCTGCCTATGCAGGGGGTCGGACTCGATGATCTGTTGAGGTCCCTTCTGACCCTAACATCTATGAATCTATGAATCCCCATGCTGCAAATTTGCAGCACAGGGGCAAAATTAGACCCCTGGATATCCAGGGGTCAAAAAATCCCACAGAGAAAAAAAGCGGGACAGGGCACAGTTGTGGGGCAGGGCATGGTCCCAGGCTATGCCCTGAGGCAACTGGAGGCTGGGTCCTCCACAGAGACACTCTGGCTGCCAGAGTGTCTCTATGGTTTGCCCTCACCCTGGAGCTGAAGCACAGTGCCTGCCCATACAGAGCAGGCAGCATGCCATCAGCAGGGAGCTGGACCCGGGCTCCAGTGCCAGTAAGTAAGGGGTCGGGGAGGCTGGAGGAGTGGGGAGGGTACCATGGTGGGGACCAAATTAGGGCCAGGAGGACATGCTTTGACAGTTCAAAGCAAGCTACCACACCCAGAACATCTTCTGGGTGATAGCTGCCCAGATGGCTGGGCAGGGGGCATACATGGCAGTAGTGCTGCACAAAGGCCAGCTCTGCAACTCTGCTGCAGTAGGTAGAGGGTGCAGGGAACTCTCAAGGCTGCTGCAGCAGTCCAGCTGGCACAAGGGGTAGTGTCCCCAGGTACCAATTGGCTGGGCCCCAGAATCTCCTGAGAGTGAGTAGCCCTGAGCTACTTGCCAGGGCAGCTTTTTGTACTGATGGGGCCAGGACAGAGCAGCTTTTTATACTGCTGGGGACAGTAAAGGTACTAGCCCCAGGCTCTAGCTCCCCCTGTCTGCAGATCCAGAAGGATCCAGGCAGGGTTATTTTGGCCCAAGTGGCACAATTTGCTCCACAACAAAGTGCATGTCCAAGCACGTGCGCTGAGGCAAAAAGCCCCAGCTCAAATTTACACCGTTTCTATTTGAGATGCTGCAAGCGCACATGCTTGCATGTGTGGACATGCCCAAAGTAGCCAGAGCAAGCACACCAGTGAATCAGGGGCTTAGGTTACTATTTTGAAATGAAAATAACTGGACTGTGACCATTAGGTAGTGACATCCAGAAAAAAATATCGTTTCAGTAGCATGCCATGAGCTGAACCATTTGTGCTTTGCAAGGAGATGTCTCTTGGCTATGCAAATACATGGTTGTTTACGTTTCCTTTCTCAGCACAGCACACCCTGGACTACATTGTTCCTGGAGGGGTGTTTTTAGTTGTGTTGACTGCCAGTCTCCTAATAAAGAAGATCCAGCAACTCCATGGTGAGACAAAGTCATTAGTGGCCTGCACTTAAACCCTAGAACTCTGACAAATCTACGTTAAGAAATTGTTGGTGGTTATACTGAGGTTCAATTTTGTGCCTCATGTGAAATACAGGTGTGCCTGTATTTCCTTTAGACTGACATACCTTTGGCTATCATTCAGTATTATATTTGTCCCCCAAAAGTCTACACACGTGGGAGAAACTACCCAAGGAGAAATAGAGCTGTGGAATACTCTGTTTTTGATCACCTCTTTGGCTCATTAGAACACCAGAAACAGACATATATTGAAAAGTTCCTTGCAAAGCTTTGTTTAGTCCTTTTTCCTGTTTTTGCCAGGAAATGCACACTGGTTAAACAGAAAGCCAGACTAATTTTTTCTTTCTGCTTTATAAAAAACAGAAAAGGCTTGCACAGAGTTTGTTGATATAACCGCCCTCACAGTCAGCACCGCAGTGGTATCTTTCCTTCCGCTCCTGGCAATCTTGGTGTGCTGTAAGTATCCCTGCTGTCTGTTTTCAATAAAGGCAAATATGCTTGGATGTTTTAAAAACTTTGCTCCCGCAGAAATGCATGGAATGGAGCTGAAGACCTCTGATCTTTCTGTTGTTAAGAACAAAGTAAACCTGTTTTAAATGGGATAATTAGAAATGAGTGAATTGTATGGGACAGAAATCAGAATTTGTTGAAGAAATCTGTGAAGGAACTTTTCTTCCACCATCTCTGATATCTCAAAATTACAAAGACGTTAGAGTACCTTGCTAATTTCTCATTGTATGAACAGTTATAGCTTTTCGGATATGTAACCTGCACTCATTGACAGATATTTTATCACCTCACAAATCAACATATTGTTTTTCTTTTTTCCATACTTTTCCCATGTTAGTGCATAGTAATAATGTGCACTGCCTTATTCAGCCCTTTTGTTAGATGGGTCAGAGACCCTTCTGGCAACCATTCTTCTTTCTAGATAAACTTCAGTTACCATCCTTCAAGTACAGCAAACTTTGTGTTAGTTTTGTCTTGTATGTGACACTTCTGAACTATTTCACAGATCATATTACTCAAAGATGGCAAAAAGAAAGCTCGAGTTCTAGACGGCAAGATTTACAGGAGGTAAGTCAGTATTAAGTGGCTTTCACTGTTGATTGATGTTCTTTAGAACACTTTCAAGAAAATAAGGACATTTATAAAACCTTTAAAACCTCAAAAATCAGGAAAGATGGGGCCCAATAGTCCTCATTTTTACTGATATTGTGCTCTAAGTCCAATAGAGTTTTTCCTGATCTGGGTTGAAATGTGACAAATGCAACCGTGTCCAGTAAAGCGCTTAATCGTGTGTTAAAGCAGTAATTCAATGGGGACTCAGGTGGTAAAATTTTGAGGGCTCTGATGATGTACTCAGCCCAAGTCAAAACAGAGCCTGTAAAACCCCCATTCAGATGTCTAAGTCCAGTGAATTTGTTGGCCTTCTTTAACTGAATGGTAAATAACCTCCAGATACACAGCTCCCAAACTGGCACGGAAAAATGGCCCAGTTCCTAATACATTTACAGCCTTGAGGTCAAACCATTAATGGATTAAATGTGATTAAAAGACATTTATAACATTATCGTGCCATTCTCAGAACTAGCACGTCTAAATCCATTTGCATTTGGCCACAGACTCCAAGCAGCAGGACGAGGACACTGAGGCTACCTGCAAAACCTCTCTGCATACCTTGTTCAATTCTGGATGCTGTATATCCTCTATGCACTCAAAATTAACATCCCTTCTCTGACCGGTTATAACAGTGAAGCGCGCATTGCTTTATCTACTCTAGATCTGCACTGCTGACGGAACATTTCAACGGGAACTGTGCAAAAGTATGGGAGGGAAGAATTAGGCTGGGCATAGTTGATAAAGCATCTTTAGCATTCAAATTGACAGTCACTTCTACTGCACAAGTTCATTCTGATAGGCACAAGCACTAGGAAGGAAATCAGAGCTATCAGATTTATCAGGCTCGTGCCAGTGTTTTAACTGAAGGAAGGGACTGGAGAGGTTGGTTTGTGCTGCGTCAGATATTGTTGCAGCTCCAAAAACCTTGTGGAAAGGTTTTTGGCTGATGCCAATTGTCCTTCAGCAACTTGAGGTGAAGTTTGAAAACAATTACCATAAAAACAAAATCTTTTTTTATAACTGTTATTTGTAAAACCTTGGCACAGTAGCAAAATAACAGTATGCACTTGTCAAAATCATGCTGTTTGCCCGGGATCTCAACTAAAGACCTCTTATTGAAAACCAGTGGTTTTTCCATTGACTTCAAAGGGTGTTAGTCCAGGCCTGAAAACGTCCTATTGTTTGAGTGTTTCAAGTATTCACAATGTGTTTTCTTATTCTCCTTTGCAGATTCTCTGAAATGCCTCCAGTTGCCTGCGTGAAGGAGATGCTGCGTACTTCCTTTGCGAGGCCTGCACATATTTCCTCTCTCTTGTTTAATCACACCACCTCCGCCTTGTTTAATTTTAAGCAGTTGGAAAGGGCTTGGGCTTCCGAGCAGGCTCCTGCTACCAGCACTGAATAAACGCGGCTGGACTATCTACACATGCCTCCGCTTGGCCCTTTATTCTGAGCACGCAAGTAACACCTCTGCCTTTTCCTCCTAACTTCCCCCCACCCCCGAACTGGGAAATACGTCATTATTTGAAAACTGTCGTGGGTGGATGCGGGATTTTAGCACCTGTCGCTCGTGGCGCTACCGGGAAGGCAATGACGTTGCCACCCAAGGGCAGACAGCCGGAGCCGCGGCTGGTGGCTGCAGGCGGGCGCGGG